CCCATCTTTCTGTCTCTGCCTCTTTCTCTGTAACTCTGCCTTTAAAATAAAATTTTAAATCTTAATAAAATAAAGAGAAAGGGTGAGAGAGTGTCCACAGTAAAGTAACAGAGCAAAGCTACAGTTGTGCTGTCCCTCAGCAGCCTTCTGCCTTAAGTGGGAAATCTCTGGCTTACAGACACTGACATAAAAGACACATTCAAAACACATTTCAAAACAAGAGATGAGAGGTTTACAAGGCATATTGACTTTATGATGACTTTCATTCATTAGGTACACTGGGTTTAGGTATATGCCTTTTGTGCAGCCAAGTTAACCCAGGGTCTAACTCAAAGAGATACTGAGGAATGTGCTGCCAGGGGAGAGAGCTACAATGTCCCATTGCTCTTGTAGCATCATAAAGGGAAGGAAAAGGTCTACTCATGTCCATGGTTACAAAGAGGACAGAAGCACAAACATTTCAGAAGGCAGGAGCAAATTTCAAATACAGTTATTTTAAGAAAATAAAAGGAAGCAAATTTCAGAATATAACATGGGGTAGAAACACACCATCAGTTCATCAATTCTCACAGGGATCCAGGAAAACTGCCCTGCCTACCCATAAACCAAATGTTTCAAAACATATTTTCTGATTAAATTCAGAAGATTACAGGACTCGCACTCTGGGTGTTCAAATGCCAAATTAAGTTTTAGTTTCCACTACGGGCATATGTAGCCCAATCACTCAGAACATGAGAAAAACTTTTCCATAAGAAGGAACATGAAATATTCAGTCACACAGAATAACTGTGCTTAGTGCTCAAAGTGAACCAACCCCAGGATAAGCACCCAGAAAACCTGTTAGGTCTTAGGGCCAGCTCCATGGTGAAGCATGTAAAAATTTATTTATTTATTTAAAAGGCAGAGTTACAGAGAGTCAGGGCACAGAGAAAAGTCTTCCATGCACTGATTCACTCTGAAAATGGCTGCAATGGCCAGAGCTGGATTTACTTGAAGCCAGGAGCCAGAAGCTTCTGTCAGGTCTCCCATGCGGGTGCAGAACCCAAGAACTTGGGCCATCTTTCACTGCTTTCCCAGGCCACGGCAGAAAGCTGGATCTCAAACAAGCACCCATATGAGATGGCAGCACTGTAGGTGGCAGCCTCACCTGCCATGCCACAATGCCAGCCCTCAAAATAAACCTATTTTAAAAAGCATTTTAACTGAGGGATGGGAGAGAGTTTGTTTATCCAAAGCAAGGATAACATAACATAACTACTACACAGAAGAAGCTCCTGGCTCCTGGCTTTGGATCGGCACAGCTCGCGACCACTGAAGCCAACTGGGGAGTGAACCAGCAGATGAAGACTTCTCTCTCTCTGCCTCTCCTCTCTGTAACTCTGACTTTCAAGTAAAATAAATAAATCTTTTTAAAAAAATAACTACTAGTACTCATTAACTTCAAAAATATAGAAATTTAAGGAAACTCAAAATATAACCAAAATCATCATCTACTACACATTATAATCTTTATTTTGAGAGTCTATTAGAAAAAAATTAACCCCTCCCCCATTGAAAAAATGCACATGGGACTGGTATAGTAAGTTAAGCAGACCCTGGCAGTGCCAGCACCCCACATGGGCACTGGTTCAAGACGTGGCTGCTCCATTTCCAATATAGCTCCCTACTAATTCACCTGGGAAAGCAGAGGATGATGGCCCAAGTGTTTGGGCCCCTGAAATCAAGTGTGAGAACCAGAAGAAGCTCCAAGCTCCTGGGTTCACCTGGCCCAGCCCAAGTCATTGTGGCCATTTGAGGAGTGAACCAACAGATGGAAGACCTCTCTTTCAATCTCTCTGTAAATCTGCCTTTCAAGTAAATAAAATTGATCTAAAAGAAAATACCTGTATACAATGTAGTATTTTGGTTATTTCCTCATACAAAGAAAGCTCAGATAAACTGTAGATGAATCCTCCTGGCTTGATGCAATTCAGAAGGATGATTGCCTTCTGCCACCCTGTGGTAGACATCAATGAAAGTTATTAATGGGGAGATGAATGGGCTGGAGCCATGGCTCACTAGGCTAATCCTCTGCCTGTGGTGCCGGTACTCCAGGTTCTAGTCCCAGTTGGGGCCAGTCCTGTCCCAGTTGCTCCTCTTCCAGTCCAGCTTTCTGCTGTGGCCCAGGAAGGCAGTGGAGGATGCCCAAGTGCTTGGGCCCTGCACCCGCATGGGAACCAGGAGAAGCACCTGGCTCCTGGCTTTGGATCAGTGCAGCGTGCCAGCCGTAGCAACCATTTGGGGGGTGAACCAATGGAAGGAAGACCTTTCTGTTGTCTCTCTCTCTCACTGTCTAACTCTGCCTGTCAGAAAAAAAAAAATGGGAAAATGAATGGACACCATCAGACTGCTTCCTCATATGCCACCTTTCCTTAAAGACATCACTGCTACATTACCAGATTATGTCTCTTGTGTGAAACATATCTCTCCTAAAAATTTTAAAGAACTTGCCAGAAACTTATAGCAGAGCAGGGAATGATGTGCCAAGGACAGTGAGTTAGCCTGAGTAGTCCAGGAATCCTGTTCTTGGCTGTTTTCAAGTTCATTTTTTTTTTTTTTTGACAGGCAGAATGGACAGTGAGAGAGAGAGACAGAGAGAAAGGTCTTCCTTTTGCCATTGGTTCACCCTCCAATGGCTGCTGTGGCCGGCGCACTGTGGCCACGCACCGCGCTGATCCGATGGCAGGAGCCAGGAGCCAGGTGCTTTTCCTGGTCTCCCATGGGGTGCAGGGCCCAAGCACCTGGGCCATCCTCCACTGCACTCCCTGGCCACAGCAGAGGGCTGGCCTGGAAGAGGGGCAACCGGGACAGAATCCGGCACCCCGACCGGGACTAGAACCCGGTTGCCGGCGCCGCTAGGGAATTAGCCTAGTGAGCCGCGGCGCCGGCCCTTTCAAGTTCATATTAATGTACACACAACATAGTTGCTGAGAAAGTGTCTTACAGTTGTTTCCTGGGTGTGAAGCAGCTCTTTTCAGCAGAAACACGTAACTGCTGTCCACTCGCAAGCACTGTGATAGGGAGTACATGGGAGAAAAGTTCAAAACACACTGGGTTTCAGAGGAAGATGTTGTTACCCTAACAACCTCTATCCAGGATTCACTTTCTATTTTTACTTCCTAGGTAACCTTACTATGCTAAATGAGTTTCACAGATTAATAATCTGGTGACAACAGGACTCTAACAGAATCTATGAACCACTCAGTTAATCAAGTGATAACTTCATTATACTGAAAGTTAGTCTATAGCAATAGTTTTTAGGGCCACATGTCTCTTTTTTTTTAAAGATGTTTTATTTATTTATTTGAGAGGTAGAAATACAAATATTGAGACAGACAGAAAGGTCTTCCTTCTGCTGGTTCACTCCCCAGTTGGCCAAAATGGCCAGAAGAACTGCATTAATCTAAAGCCAGGAGCCAGGAGCTTCTTCTGGGTCTCCCACATGGAGACCCCCCATGCCTTCCCAGGCCATAGCAGAGAGATGGATCAGAGGAGGAGCAGCTGGGACTCAAACGGGTGCCCATATGGGATGCTGGCACCACAGGCAGAGGATTAACATACTGAGTCACAGTGCCAGCCCAAAGCCACATCTTTTACTATACTGTGTATAGTAAAAGTATAGTATACTATCTCTGTGGGGGGAGGGGAGCATATTTTCTCTTTTCTTCCTTACCCCTCCTCACATTAACACCTTGTATAAAGGCTTCCATAGACCACAGTCATTATGAAAATCTGTCATTAATATCCTCCCATGTTGAAAATGGCATGGGGTTAAACACAGAACTCAGAATAAGAAAAGTAATTTGAAGCTGGTGTGTGGCTGAGCAGGTAAAACCATAAGGGTGCTGGTTCGAGACCTGGCTGCTCCACTCTCTGCTATGGCCTGGGAAAACAGTGGAAGATGGCCCAAATGCTTGGTCCCCTGCATCTGTGTGGGAGACTTGGAAGAATTTCCTGGCTCCTGACTTCCATGCAGTTCTGGCCATTGTGACCATCTAGGGAGTGAACCAGCAGATGGGAGACCTCTCTATCTCTCTGTGCCTTTGCCTCTTGTAACTCTGCCTTTCAAATAAATAAATAAAAATTAAAAAGTAACTGACCCTCTTAATTAAAACCATATGGACTGTAAGATAATCAGCTTGGTGGAGCATTGAGTCACTTTAAAGAACTAGAAGAGAAAAATTGCTACTTTTCTGTATTTATGTCTTCATAGCTCTCCATTTTATGAAAATCCATATTAAAGTAGCTCATTATTAACTCACACGGTAGACTTGCATTTTTCAGTTCACTTCTCACTTTGCAAAGGGATTAGCAGCAGGTAATAATAGTTGACATCCCTAATAACATAAGAAAAAAGGGTTGAAGACAGAAATCGAAAAGCAGGAAAATAAATCAGCTACATTTCCATGGCCTCAAGCTCCAGATTGAAAAAGAGTCTGTTAATTAAACACGGAGGAGAGATCAATCTACTAAGCTACTGCACAAGCTTCACATTGCCGCTGGGAAATACAGCCAAACTCATAGCGCCCTGGCTGTCAGATGTGTCCACAGGGTCCAGCCTGGGGGCCACTGGGCCCCACCCAGCTGGAACAACCATGGGGTATTGCTGGAAGCCCAGCCAGAAGGCATTCTCTGACCCACCCTAAATGAGAACTGGGCTAATTTAAATCTAGGGAATGGGACTCCTTCCTTTGCCATGCTCTCAACTGCCCTGCTGGTGCCGTTCCTCGTCCAGTGTACTGTAAGGAGAATTTGAGTGAGGCAGCCCGTGGGACTGGCCGTGCATCGGGAGACTGGGAAGCGGCGGTGGGAGACACAACACCTGGGTTCCAGCCTTGACTCTGCCAGAGGCGCTCCCAGGATCACTGAGAACCAAGTGATCAATCTGGGAGCCGCTACCCGCCATCGCACCCACCCTCTCCCACACACCATAGATGCCCCTTCCTGTTCTCCATACTTGCCGTGGAAACTCTCGGGAGCACGTCCCCTTTCTTCAGGACACCTGGAGAGCAAAGCGGAAAGTGTGGGACAGGAGAAGTCGCTGGAACTTGGGGCCCACGGTGGCAGATGCAGAGGCACAGAAGCAGCGGGCGGCAGGTCTGGGGTGTGCTCCCGAACCGCCTGCAATTGCACTTGCAGAGCAAGACTCCCCAGGGAATGTGGGAGAAGAGCGTGCGGCCTCTCAGGGCACACTCTGATCAGTAAATGAACTTCCTCTGTTCTCAACCCCGGGCCACAGGGAAAGGCACGCGCATGCGTACGTTCTCCCACATGCACACGCACAGGCGCTCAGAGCACGGAAAACGTTAGAGCACCAGGTG